AGAGAGAGAGAGAGAGAGAGAGAGAGAGAGAGAGAGAGAGAGAGAGAGAGAGAGAGTTTCTGATACACAAGATTTAATGTAGATTATAGTCCTGTAACAATGATCTGAGTGAAAGGAGACTTGTGTCCTGGGCTGCCCCTTACCAGGCAGAGTCTTAATGGGAGAGACATTGTCCCTGTGGGTCCATCTTGGAAGCTGTTATTTTGCTCAGTGGTACCTGGATGGTATGAAAAACATATTGACCAGCCAACCATGAGCAATATATCAAGATTTATCATCTCTTGGAGTAAAAATTGACCCCAATTTAACCTCTATTAATATTTATTTCTCAGGTCAATAAATCTAGAATTTGTCTTAGTAAAAGTCAATGTCAGTTGAATTCTGTCTATTCATCTTAGAGGGCACACACACAGAAAAGAAGCTATCGTTTGGAAATACTAAGCATGAAATAAGAAAGCCACACACAGAATCCCTAGAAGCCAAAACCAAAACCCGATTTGAAAACAAATGGACCTTTTCCCCTGCAGGTACTCAGTTACAAGGAGGCAGAAGCTCGGAGGCATTCAAGATTCGGCCTCACCCAGAAGGAATGGAGGTGTAATGGACGTCAATACTCTACAAGGGGTGCTGAAGACCGCCCTCATCCCCGGCAGCCTAGCACGTGGCATGTATGAGGCTGCCTTAGATGAGCTCCAAGCCCATCTCTGTGTGCTTGCATCTAGCTGTGACGAGTCCATGCATGTCAAGTTGGTGGAGGCACTTTGTGCTGAGCACCAAATCAACCTGATTAAGGTTGACAACAAGAAGAAACTGGTGGAAAGAGTAGGCCTCTTTAAAAGTGACCCAGAGTGGAAGCCGCATAAAGTGGTTGGTTGCAGCTGTGGTGGTTAAGGATTATGGCAAAGATCTCAGGCCAAACATGTCGTCGAGGAGTACTTCAGATGTAAGAAATGAATAATTAAAAATTTTTGGCTCATTAAAAAAAATGGAAAAAAAAGAGTAGGCAGCCTCAAACATCGTTTGTCTTCACTCTCCAGTTAATATCCTCAGTGCAGTGAACCTTCACTGTCCAGAAGGGAGGCATGGGGCTCCAGGCCCCAATCAGTTGATCTCAAGTCTGCTAGTTTACTTCTCTGACCATCTGCTTCCAAAGACCTGCCATTTTTTCTAGAGTATTCTGCTGTTTTAGGGCTGTAAGTCAACGATAGGATATTTTCCTAGCATATATGAGGCCCTAAGATGGATCCTTGACTCTATAGAAGAGAAAGAGAGAGAGAGGAGAAAAGAAAAAGGAGAGAGA